GTGATCTTTTGTATAACACACCATCCACGATGGTGCATCGAGCCGCCTTCCGACGAAGGCGCCATGCGTCCTTTGGGTTCTCCGGTACGACTCCCTGCGTTAGGAAGAGGCGAATTGGTGCCATCCATCCTTCTTCCACTCCCGATAGGATGGAGGCCATTACCACCTCTTCGTGTGGGACTTCTTTTGCCACGATCACCGTCCGACTCTCCTCAAAGTCTAAAGCCGTAGCTAACTTAGACAAAGCGTCTGCATGAGCATTCTCCTCTCTCGGGACATGCGCAAAAGTTACCTCGCGAAACCAAGCGCATCTCTTTCGCACGGATTGCACATAGGCGCATAGAGCCTCCTCTTTCACTTCGTAAACTTCGTTCAGCTGATTGACCACCAACGCTGAGTCAGTTTTCACATTAACCCTTTGGGCGCCCAGCTCTCTCGCATAATGAAGTCCGGCCAGAACAGCCTCGTACTCAGCCGCATTGTTTGTTTTGAGGGTCGCAAAACGAAGCGCAATTTCATGAAGGGCGCCTAAAGGGCTAATGAGTACTATGCCGGCCCCGGCGCCTGCCCGACTTGCTGCTCCATCCACATGTACTTGCCAGCATTCCTCAATGCCCGTCCCTCCATCGGTCACACCTTCGGCCATGAAATCTGCCAACACTTGAGCTTTTACAGCTGGACGGGGGGCGTAACTTATGTCAAACTCACTTAATTGCACGGCCCACTTCACCAGGCGCCCAGACACATCCATTGATCCAAGAACCGTCCTTAATGGCAGGTTAGTGAGCACCACGATGCTATGAGCCTGAAAATAGGGTCTGAGCTTGTTCGCGGCCATCACTACTGCCAAAGCCGCCTTCTCTATGGGTGCATATCGCGTCTCATGGCCGACCATGGTGCGGCTGACGTAGTACACCGGTCGCTCTTCATTCGTCAGCGAGTCTTTGGATATCAGTACAGCGCTCACAGCGATGTGGGACACCGCTATGTACAAGTATAGCACTTCCTTGGCTTTAGGCGCGGTCATTACCGTAGGTGCTATGAGTAGCCCCTTCAACTCTTCGAACGCCTTGTCGCATTCTTCTGTCCATCGAAACTTGGTGGCCTTTTTCAATACCTTGAAAAAGGGGGCGCCCCGGTCCGAGGCTCGCGGAATGAACCGTCCCAACGCCGCCAGCCTTCCTGTCAACACTTGCACTTCTTTCGGCGTTCTTGGGGGCGCCAAGTTCTTGATGGCCTCCACCTGCCTGGGATTAGCCTCTATCCCCCTTTTTGTTATCATGAAACCCAAGAACTTTCCCGCCTCCGCAAAGAACACACACTTTTTGGGGTTAAGCCTCAAATTGAATCGGCGCATTGTTTCGAAAGTTTCCCGGAGGTCCAGGATATGATCTTGGCGCCTCTTGCTCTTCACTATCAAATCATCCACATACGCTTCCACGTTTCTCCCTATCTGCTCGCGGAAGACTTGGTTTACCATACGCTGGTAAGTGGCGCCTGCATTTTTTAAACCGAATGCCATGACACGATAGCAAAAGTTGCCAAAAGGTGTCATGAAGGCCGTTTTCGCACGGTCCTCCTCCACCATAGGGATTTGATGATAGCCTGAAAACATGTCCAAGAAGCTGAGCGCTTCGTGATACGCCGTCGCATCTACCAGCAAGTCGATGCGTGGCATAGGGTAAGCATCCGTTGGGCACGCCCGGTTGAGGTTAGTAAAGTCCACGCACATCCTCCAATCTCCCGACGGCTTTGGGACAAACACTACATTGGAGAGCCACGTAATGTACCTTGCCTCCTCCACAAACCCCGCTTCTCGCAACCTGTCGACCTCATGCCGGAGCGCCTCCTCTTTCTCGGGGGTCAAGTTCCGTCGCTTTTGTTGCACCGGCCTTTTACCTTCTTCCACTGCCAGCCTGTGCGCCGCAACTTCGGGGGACACCCCGGGCATATCCCGAGCGCTCCATGCAAATAATTCTCCGAACTCTCTCAGTAACTCGATTAAGGGTGCTCGCATAGTCTCTGGCGCCTGCGATGATATTCGTATTATCTGGTCTGGGCGCTCCTCGTCCAATGTCACAGCCATCTCATCGTCTACTGGTTCTGCCCTGGGCGCCTCCTCCGGACTGACGTCTACGATATTCAGTCTATGCTTCCGACCCCGATTCTTTGAGTCCTCTTCTCTTGCATATCGCGGGACATTCCTTCCTCGCGAGACGCCTACACCTTGAGGAGCGACGAACTTCAGCGTCTGGTGACACGTCGAGGCTACCCCATTGAATTGTGCCAAAAGAGGTCGGCCAAGTATCACATTGTATGGTGAGGGACAGTCAACGATGCCAAACTCCACCGCATGCGTTACACAATGCGTTTCGTCCCCCAGAGTCACAGGGAGGCGTACGCGCCCAATGACTTGAGCAGGTGCCCCCGAAAATCCGATGAGCACCGAACTTGAGGGACGTACCAACTCAGGCGCCAGCTGCATTCGCTCAAAGGTGCTTTTGAAGAGGACATCCATAGAGCTGCCTGTGTCTACCAACATTCTCTTCACTTTACATCCGGCTATCACTCCTTGTATTTCAAGAGCCTCCTCCGATGGAACTTGGCACGCCTCATCCGGTTCCTGATTAAAGTGGATGTGCACGGCTTCCCTGGCTTCAAGCGACGCAGCTCGCAGGCGCCTAGATCTCTCCAACTTCTCTCTCAAGTCAAGGGTACCCGTTATGGACTCGACTGTAAGCCTTACTCGGCTAGGCTCTCCCTCTTGATCTACCTCAAACGGAGGTGGCGGAATAACAGGCGCCGGCTCAGTTCCCGGTTCTTTGGGCGCTTCCCTGACTGTGGGCGGCACCACGGCTTGGGTTCTTGGTTCTTCTTCCGCCCTCCTCTGTTCCGGCACCTGCCTCGTCACATAGGTTCGATGCGTCCTGTCTTCCATCCTTCTGACGAAGTCGTTGAGCATGCCTTTGTCGGCTAAAGTTTGTAGTTCGGACTTCAGTTGGTAACAATCGGCCGTGTGATGCCCTTTGTCGCGATGGAAGTCACAATATCGGTCAAGATTCTTTTCGTTGGGCTGGCCGCGCATGGGCCCCGGCCACCTTATATGGTAGCCCCTATCCTTCACATATTGTAACACATTCTTGAGGGTATCATTGTACTCTGTAAAATTTGCAGCACTCCTCGGTACCAGTCGTGGCGCCTCTGGTCTCCTTGGTGGGGCGAAATTTCCGGGACCAGGTCTCGGCGCCTGCCTCACCTCTCCTTCATCACCTCTTAGCCGCCTCTTTTCAGCCCTTCGTGCCGCCAAAGTTTCTTCCAACATAATTACCTTTTGTACTCTTCGGTCAAGGTCTTCGGTGGACACTACATCTCGCTTGGACAGGACCCGGCACAGCTCTTCGCTTGAGGTGCAGGCGTCCAAGCAGACCCCCAACACTGCTGGTTGCACATCTTTGACCGCCATGGCAACCGAGATCCATCGATCATAAAACTCTCGGAGCGCCTCACCCTCCTTCTGTTTGACTTTAAACAACGCCCCTATGGTCAATGTCCGACGCTTTCGGCTTGCAAACTTGGACAAAAACAACTCAGCAAATTCTTCGAAACATTCTATGCGCCCCTCCTCAATCTGGTGGTACCAATCCAGGACCACGCCTGCGAATGTGGAAGGAAACACCTTGCACAATGTGGCGTCGGAGCTGTTGTAAAGCTGCATCTTAGTAAAGTAGCTATTCAGGTGGTCTTCCGGGTCAGCCACCCCATCATAACTTGGCAACGGGGGGATCGTAGTTCCCGCTGGCTCCATTAGGATGCGCCGCGCCAGAGGCTGCCGAACACCAAACCTTCGAGCAATCCTCCTAGGCGCCCATACGTCCTCTGGGCCTGTTTGCGCCCGCTCGATATTCAGCCTCCCCTCTCGTGGACGCCCATACGCGTCATGCCCCTGCTCGGAGGCATACTGCGGTCCGTGTTGCAGAGACTCCGAATCTTCCCCCATTCTCTCCCGCTTTCTCGCCCCTGGGCTGTACATCATCGCATCTTCACTTCGTTCCCCTTCCAACTCCCTCTTGAGCGCCGCTATGGCCCGGTCTTGGTCGGCTATGATTCGGAACAGCTCTCTTTTCGTCAAAGACTCGCCATCATCAGCGGACAGGCGCCCTGGACTTCCTTGTCCCCCCCCATTCATGCTCCTCTCTTGACTCAGTTGACGCCCGCCTTCTTCGTGATTCGAGTTCCCCGACCTGGAATCGCCTTCTCCATCGTTCGCTTCGTTCATGTCTTCCATGCGCCTAACGTTTTCGTGCACCTCGCCCCTTCCTGGCGCGCCAATTGTTTGTGCCCAGATACCCCCGAACTCTTATCCTTTGCCTTTTTACTCCTCCGACACCCGGGCGCCCGGAACCTGCACCCACAAGCGCCTAAGGGCCTCGGCCGACCCGTTAGCACTCCGAAGCTTAAGTCAGTTCTCTTTTCTAGAGAGATAAGTGTTTGGGAGTCGTTTTAGTGAGAGAAGCCAACCTGCGTAAATGCTATCGTCTGCCCCTATTTATACTCACCGAACTCGAGGTTGATCTCCGCCACGTCACCTCCCACATTCAATGCTCTGCGCCCCCAGACAGCTAACCGCCCTGTCAGGCTCCTGACACCTGACTGGCGTTCCACAGTTCTGCCAGGCTCCTGACACACGACAGGCGCCTGCAGGCCGCGGCCCACCATCCAGTTGGTCGCCACCTGGCTTTTGGTGCTCTGTGTGACAGCTAACCACCCTGTCAGACTCCTGACACCTGTCAGGCGCCCCAGGCCGTGGACCACCAGCCGGTTGGCCGCCACCTGGCTCTTGGCATTTTACTCTTTTGGGCTTTGTCCCCTAGCTCGCTGGGTAATACCCCCAACAGTTATCATTAGTTAGCTTATTAATCAGTTAGTTATTGTGATGTAGATTGTAGCATTATAGAAATATTGACTACAAGATTTGACACTCTTTCAATTGTTAATAATATCTGTTGGGCCATTAAACATGGCTTGGCCCAGCCCATACCACAACTACAATCCACCAAGTATGTATGGGCCCAAACCCACAAAGTATCTTCATGGTCCTACAACTAAAGCCCACATGAAGAAGACAAGTTTGGCCTATAAATACACTACCAAGCACTCCAAGTAAGGGGTCTCCTCTCCTCCTCTTCTCACTTTAACATATTACTTCTCTCTCTACACTATCTCTCTCTACCCATATTCTCCATGTTCCTCTATCACCATACTAATGTTGACCGTTGGAGTGTAGATAATGGGGGACATCCCCGCCCTTTCACAGGTCCGGTGTTCCCATGTTTCTTGGCTGAAACAATTGGCGCGCCAGGAAGGGGAGTACACAGGCATTTTCTGATCTCCCTCTTATCAAAAGAAAGAAGAGACATCAAATAGCGGGCGTCTCTGCACGATGACAACTTGAAGGCGCCTCTGCTAGGGTTGTGTGTCTGCTGCAACCCTTTCCTCCTCCCAGCCCGTGTAGGCCCAAGCCCAGCGAAAGCCCAACGCCCAGCATTTCAAGCCCAGCGCCCAACAATGGAAGGCGCCTCTACTAGGGTTATGTGTCTGCTGCAACCCTTTCATCCTCCCAGCCCGTGTAGGCCCAAGCGCTTATGTCAGCCCATATTTCAAACCCAGCGCCCAACAACAATGCAGTTATAAAAATGATCAAGAGCAGAAGTCGAACCAGCGACCTCACACTGATAAGTCAAGCGCCTGAACCAGCAGACTACACGATGGGGTTATGAACAAACAAGATCCGTTTCTTTATAGTCCGCAACATTTCAAGCCCAGCGAAAGCCCAACGCCCAGCATTTCAAGCCCAGCGCCCAACAATTGAAGGCGCCTCTACTAGGGTTGTGTGTCTGCTGCAACCCTTTCCTCCTCCCAACCCGTGTAGGCCCAAGCGCTTATGTCAGCCCACATTTCAAGCCCAGCGCCCAACAACAATGCAGTTATAAAAATGATCAAGAGCAGAAGTCGAACCAGCAACCTCACACTGATAAGTCAAGCGCCTGAACCAGCAGGCTACACGATGGGGTTATGAACAAACAAGATCCGTTTCTTTATAGTCCGCAACATTTCAAGCCCAGCGAAAGCCCAACGCCCAGCATTTCGAGCCCAGCGCCCAACAATTGAAGGCGCCTCTACTAGGGTTGTGTGTCTGCTGCAACCCTTTCCTCCTCCCAGCCCGTGTAGGCCCAAGCGCTTATGTCAGCCCACATTTCAAGCCCAGCACCCAACAACAATACAGTTATTAAAATGATCAAGAGCAGAAGTTGAACCAGAGACCTCACGTTGATAAGTCAAGCGCCTGAACCAGCAGACTACACGATGAGGTTATAGACAAACAAGGTCCGTTTCTTTATAGGCGCCCAAGGGTACTAACCAGTATATAATCGAATCAAGCGCATCAACACCAAAAGTCATGCTTCTGTACCACTAGGCCGCAACTCCAAGGTCGGCTTTGTAGCAAGCGCATGGTTAGCAAGAAGTTTTGGATTGACTTCTACACACTCTAAATCGAGCTAAGTACCCCGTCTCTTTGTAAAATTTGATTTTTATCTCCATAGAATATTGATTTTGTTCTGAAATACTCTCTACGCTAAGATATAGTGTTTTTGGTTTAAAATGCTCTCCGCGTCCAAATTTAGCGCCTGTGGTTGAAAATGCTCTCCGCGCCCAAATTTAGCGCCTGTGATTTGCAATACTCTATGCGCCCAAATTTAGCGCCCGTGGCTGAAAATGCTCTCCGCGCCCAAATTTAGCGCCTGTGATTTGCAATACTCTATGCGCCCAAATTTAGCGCCCGTGGTTGAAAATGCTCTCCGCGCCCAAATTTAGCGCCTGTGATTTGCAATACTCCATGCGCCTAAATATGACACTCTGGTTAGAAATACTCTGTGCGCCCAAATTTAGCGCCCGTGGTTGAACATGCTCTCTGTGCCCAAATTTAGCGCCTGGGATTTGCTTGAAAAGGTATACAAGTGAAATAGTAATCACTTATGGGAACACTTCTATCAGAGCGTTTATTATATGAGCGCCCAACAGGTAAGCTCAAATAAGGCGCATGATTTGTGTTGGATAGTGATTCGTGTTGGACATATCTCCTAGGGAGATAAAGCGCTTAGATAACATTTAAAGCACCGGCAATACCTAAAGCGTGCATGGTTCTCAAAGAACCTGACATATTTGAGGCGCCCGGAACATCAAAAGTTCTCTATATAGGGACTTCAAGCGCCAGACGACGTGAAGCCCTTATGTATGATGTAGCTGTTATGATCAGCATGTGGCTGTTAAGCGCCTATCATGAGGGAAAGTAGCATGATGATGGAAGGTGGCTAATATATCACGCCATGAACATGTAATGGATGCGAGTCTACATGCTGCTAAAGATGTGTTTCGATGCCTGCTTAAAAAGAAAAGGAGAAAGGGTGATGGAATACCACAACAAGACGGAAGAGGCGCCCTCAAGAATGGTGGTCGTTTGTGCTGGGCGTCCATAAAAGGATGGTGATTCAAGCTTAAGTGTTCGAAGATTCTTGAGGTGCATGGAGTTAAGCTCTCTTGCTAGATGCCTACTGATTTATGTCAAGAAAAATGGAAAGCAAGAATGAGGCGCATGTCATGGAATAAAGGAAGGTATATGGAAAATGAAAATAAAGCGAGGAAGCCCCACATTCTGGCCATGAGAAGTGTTTGTTGTCTCTAAGTGAGGTAGAAACAAGGGCAAGTATTTGGCAGGGGCGAATCTCTCTTTGTGAAGGCCCAGGTTTATGCAGCTCTTCTTGGATTCAATGTGCCCCATGCGCTCAAGCTGTTCACTACTCAATTTTGGGCAATGATTCCATATGTACAAGGAAGCGCATCGAGGAGTAAGCTAAGTATTTTCAATCCCTCCTTGGGTTAATTTCCTCACCACTGCATTACTCAAGTTCTAATGTACTGCAAAATATTTGTTACTCTTTCCGTTATTGAGCATTGGGGGACAACATATCAATTACTCTTGTGTGAAATTTGACAAGTCGGGAGACTTTAGTTAGTTGTCCAGGGGGCCACTGGGCGCCTAACTGGGTGACTAAGTCTTTTCTATCTCTACTCAAGTTATATTCTTAGTTATTGTATGAATCAAATTATGTTGCATCATTTAGAATATTTGTGATCCTTTCTTTGTGTAACTAATACGGTAATAGGAGACATGAACTGGGGGACAAAACACTAAAGGATCTTACATGAAATTTGACTAGTGTGAGGACTTTAGTTAGCCGTCCAGTGTACCACTGGGCGCCTAACTGGGGGACAGTTGGGGTAACATGTGCATGCGCATTCGGGATTTGGGATTTTTTCTAAGGCAAACAAATCTTTAATTATGTGCCGAAAAATGTCATAGCCTTGTTAGGCATCATATGTGCAGTAAATAGTTTTATCTCATTGCTTGAGTTATATCGTTAACTATGTTATGAGTCACATCATGTTACATTGATAATTCTCTACATAGTTTCTCTCGGAATTCCTAAGCTATTATGATCCCGGGGATAATTGGAAGGACAACATGCAACTTCAAAATCTTGTCTGGAGAAAAAGAATCTCCAGTTAGGTACATAGGGCGCCATAACCTTGTTAGACGTCGAAAGAGAAGTAAGTTTATGTGTAAGGTAAATAAGTCCTCAACCGGGAGCCTAAAATGTCGTGATCTTGTAGACGTCATGGGAACAATACGTTACCTGCTACAATTTGAGTTAATTCTTCTATGAGTCATATCGTGTTTTATTGTCAATTCTCTGCAAAGTTCTTATTTCGAGATCGTTCGGCAAACATGATGTTGGGGGACATGAGTCAGCTAAGCCAGGAGCCAAGATGACGCTTAAACAATCAAGCGTGCAACTCTAAGTTCGTAGTAAAGCTTGCAAGGCAAAGACTTCTAGTTAGGCATCCAGTATGCTACTGGATACCTAACTGGGGGACAATTGTTGGGCCATTAAACATGGCTTGGCCCAGCCCATACCACAACTACAATCCACCAAGTATGTATGGGCCCAAACCCACAAAGTATCTTCATGGTCCTACAACTAAAGCCCACATGAAGAAGACAAGTTTGGCCTATAAATACACTACCAAGCACTCCAAGTAAGGGGTCTCCTCTCCTCCTCTTCTCACTTTAACATATTACTTCTCTCTCTACACTATCTCTCTCTACCCATATTCTCCATGTTCCTCTATCACCATACTAATGTTGACCGTTGGAGTGTAGATAATGGGGGACATCCCCGCCCTTTCACAGGTCCGGTGTTCCCATGTTTCTTGGCTGAAACAATATCATTTTGCTTATACTTGGTGGCCGAGGATGTTTAATACTTTTAACACAAGCATTTTTTGCTAATGAGAAAATTCATATTAATTTGTAATTCCACTGAAGATGACAATAATGGTTATAATAACACGTACTATTATAAAAAAACAAAAAACAAAAAAATAAAACACGTACCGACCCACTGTGAAAGCTGAAACTACCAGTGGCTTGTATTGTAGTGACGAAAAACCCACTGTGAATGAAGGCTGTAACTACCAGTAGCTTGTATTGTAGTGTAACTACATCCCTTTTCTTTCCCTGAACACTTTACCTTCAAGTTTAGCTGGAAACAAACAAAGCCAACTTGGCGAAGCGGGTGGTTTCCTATTGTTATAAACGCGCTGCTACGGATCGGGAAATCGCCGGGATCGACAAAGCAAGAATACGAAAGCGAGAATCGAAAACACGACACACGATTTACGTGGTTCACTAACACGATGTGTGTTAGCTACGTCCACGGGCGAGAGAGAGCCAGTTTCACTATATCTGAGGAGATTACAGATTACAGAGGAGTATGAGAAGTATTTATAGTACTTCTCCATGTGGGTCTAAACCTAATCCAATCTAGCAAAGGAAATGGTTACAGACCAGGCCCAGAACCCGAACCCAAATAACATTGAGCTCATACACCGTGGGCCGGGGGCGTTGCCCCCGATTACCAGTCGTAGCGGCTGATAGTCCGATTCAAGTCATATCAACAAATCTCCACCTTGACTTGAATCCTCTTCCTCTGAAATCTCTGATGTACTCTGCTCCTTCTCTCTCTCCCGCCATCAATGCCCCGTAGGGCGGAGTCACCCACTCAAGACATTCAACAAGTCCAAGCAGTGTTGGAACTTGCCATGAGGGACCGGCTTCGTGAACATATCAGCAGGATTATCCGCGGTGCCAACCTTCTTCACCTTAATCCTCTTCTCTGTCCTCAAGAAATGATACCTCACATCGATGTGCTTAGTCCTCTCATGGTGGACTTGATCCTTGGCCAAG